TATATATATATGTTTAAGTTGCTTGCAAAATTTACAAGAAATTGAGAAATGAAATAGCTTATGAATTATCACTGAAATATACCTAGAAATAAATAACATTATAACAGCAAACAAATGAATAAAATTTCAAAAATATTTTATGCACATTTGATAAAAATATTTTGAACTTTAATAATGTTTTCAGCATTTAATAAGTGCTAAATATTGGAAATTAGCTTTATGCACTGAAATTTTTTTTTAAAGGATTTTGTCAATATAAATAATTTTACCTAATGAAAAAATTGCACTGAAACCTCACACGACCTATTTTGCCAGAATTGCAAAGAATTTTGTTGACTTAATGACAATCTCTATAGTAATTAGACATTATTATTAAAAGCTTTTTTCAAAGAATATAAAAACTTAAATAGTACACTTATATAAAAAATAAAATTAATTGAAATAGAAATGTACCTAAGAAAGGATGAGGCAAGATAAAATGCATCAGTAAGCTTCCTTTTTTCTACAAGTACATGCATTATTTGTCGAATAACTGTTATATCAGAATGATACCTAAAAATACATAAAACACAATAAGCATTCTAGCAGATTCATAATCAATTTAGATACGGACAATTATTTAGATACAAAAAAGGTAGTTTTAACAGATATTTAAAGAGCGGTAAAAAATTTCCTCTTAAGCAGCAGATTTTCTTGCGAGTAGCAGTTTTATGTTTCTTAATGATCTTGATGATAAAATAAGAACAGTAGAGCTTGGCCTATCTGGATGAAAATTAATCAATTTGTCTAATGATATCGATTGATAAAGAAATAATTTTTCCCGACTTTCAAAATTCCCACAAGGATCTGCCCTTTATCTTAGATTCTCTGAAGATGGCTTAAAAATGGCTTCTTTTGTCCCTTGGTATTCCTAATAAGAAAGAACTCTCTTTACTGCTTGCATTTGTTCTAGAGATTGGCAAGTACCATTGTTTCGGCATTAGCTATAAACTAATACTGGCACAAGTAGGCATCAGTAACAAAAACCTGATACTTTTTATTTCAGATACAAATCAATATTAATTTAAACCTTAGTTAATACAAGGCAAAAATAATAAAGTTACTTTGCTTTTATTAGATCAAATTTTAATTCATTCTTATTGGTTGAAAATGCAGATTTAAGATTTATTTTGGTCTTTAAATAAAACAACAATAGATTTAAGTGGAATACGAAAAGGAAAACCAGTTTGTTAAAAAGATAACATATTTAATATACCCTTATTATCATCACTTTTAATAAAGCAAAAGAGTTATAATAAAGTCAAGCAGTATATAACTATCGCAAATTTATGTATTATTTCTGTATAATAAACTACATATATAATACTAAATAAAATATTTTTTATTTATTTCTTACTAATCATGATAGTTCTTTAACATTCAGTCTAAAGAATACAAAATGGATTGTGCAAAAAACTGTGTACAATTGAGCATGATTCATCGAAAAACGTGAAATAAATCATTTAACCCTTTCGAGCCTAACGGGACACATACGTCCCAAGCAAATTTCAAAAAAATCTTTTGGGACAGAAACCCTTCCCTGTCTAATGGGAGACTTTCCCACCAGTCCTGCCAATATTTTTGAAGGTATTTTCATTCACAGAACATACATGGCACTACCGTGCATAATGCTGCCCTACTCATAGTTTATGCTTTCAAAATTGTTCTGTTGTAAAAAAAAAATACTCGTCGCGAAAGGGTTAAAGATAACACAAAGTAAGAAATTTAATATGATTGTCAGTAACGAGGCAAAAATACAGCTTTAGATATCAAGGTCCTTAAAACTGATCCAAACCAAAATGCTTAAGATGAGTGCGAGTCAGTTTTAAAATGGAACTGTTTTCAAACTAATTTATAGTGAATTGATATAAATATCTGGTATCAGTAATACTAGTTAAAGAACTTTATTCAGCTAATTAATCCTTACTAAACTGATATGAATAACGGGTACAGCGAAGCGATACTAGATTCGATTACTTACAAGAAGCAGAATTTTTAAGCAGTGCTACCATCTACATGTTAAAAATATAAGATTAGATTCAATTACTTTCATTCGGTTTTTTAGTAACTTTAAAGGCTCTACAACTAAATTTCTGGTTTAACTGAAAGTAACTGATATTATTTGAACATATTCATTTTATAATGTCTTCATTTAAAGGACTTCATATTTTTAAGTACTGAAATATAAGATATGCTGAGACCCATCTTTAATTTTACTCAGTTAAATTTTAATGAGGGTCAGAAGCAGAACCAGTTCCTTTAGGAAAGAACAGCTTTCAACATCATTCTTTTTTAAACATGTGTGCTCAGAAGCACTCAAATTATTTTAAAATAAATTTTGTAGGTGAGGCAGGTGTTTTCAAACATGTGTTGATCAAGATTAAAAAAAGATTGTCGAAAGGAAGAAGAAAAAAAAAAGAAAAGAAACAACATAACACTTGAATAGCATTGGGAAATCAAGTGTATCAGATGTCAAAAGTCCAGTCTTAGATCTGGAAAAGAGGGAACGAAAGCTACCTGACAAACAGTGCCACAGTCATTTTTTAAAATTGGTTTTCATTATTTAGATTAAGTCTCAATATTTACGAATAATCACAGTATACAACATATAAAATTAAATAAAAATAATATATGAATATGCATAAAATTGCTACCTCTTTTCTACAATACAAAAAAGTTCTGCTGCATCTTGATTAATTTTGTTGTTTGTGTCCATATTTTTAAAGTAATGAAGTATTGCATTGATAAGAGGCAAATGCATACTCGGTAACTTTGCTTCACTTAAAGATATTTGCTTTAAAGTTGAAACACAGTAGTTACAAAAATTTTCAGTTTCTTTGTCATTGGGTGGTTGAATACCAGAAATAAGTTTTGTCATAATGTCTTGGATGGTGTTTATCAGAACATCCTTTTGTTGTTCTTCCAAAGATACAGAAAATTCAGGAGTTGACCATAACACAACTACTGAGTAGAGAAACTTAGAACTAGTTTTCTTTACATAATAACTTGTTGAAGAATAACTTGAAAATACAAATTCTATGAACTCTAAAAATAAAAAACAACTGTTAACGATCTAAGATGAATAATTATTTTCAAAATATCTAAATGATTTCAAATATTTAATTTTATAAAACTTGTGAATAATAAGCTTTTCTTAGACTTTTGACCTCTAACACATATATATATAATCGGACATCAATTTAACGAACCTCCATTTTGTGAATTTCTCTATTTTGAGGAACCAAGAGCATTTTGGAAATTTCTTTGTAAAATAACTTCCAATTAGCGAAGTGAATTTTCTAATCAACCAACTTTTCCTTAAGATTCAATTTTCCCACTTCCTAACATTTCAAACCTGTAAACACATTTTACGGGGGAAATGACCTTGAATTGATTTTGGCACCCACTTTAAGGGAAAGCGGTAAAATCCCTTTTTGTTTGCATTTCAACAGAAATTTCTAAAGCATAGAACTATGATGTTACAGATCATACTATTCCTAACAGTCTTGCTAGTCAGCGTGGAGAATTTGGAAAGTGGGGAGGACAAGAATAACATTCCTTTAAAAGAACTTAAAAATATATGGGTACAGCTAAGAGCCAGACACGGAATTAATGATGATGTACTCATTAATGATTTTCTTTTTATTGATTCTGAAGCTGCAACCACAGAAACATTAACTGAATCGGATATTTTGGGATAGTGTGAAAAATGAAAACAATACAGCAATAAATTGTGAGGAAGACTGAAATGATGAATAAATCACCAAACCTTCATCTGATAAAATGTTAAAATCATTTGAAACAATTTGATAGTAGATAATAATTACAAATAAAGGTGTATCAATTGCTTATTTAATTATATCTAGTGTTAATGAAATTAAAGCCTGTTTTGTGTTGTTTAAGTATTTCAAATGGTGATTTTCTATTAAGTGAATTTTTCACCAAACAGACTTTTTATCGGGATTTAGCGACTTCTTTAAATAGAGTTCATACTGTAGTTCCTGTCAGTATGAAAACAATTGTTGCCAAATGTTCTTCAAATGACATTAAAATCATATCAATGTGCAAAAAATTTTTCGCTTCGGATTTTACAAAATAGTATATATATATATATATATACATAGAATTTTTAAATTTACATGTAGTGCTTTACATTCATCTAATTGAATGTAATGACAGTTTAAGAGTCTAATGACAGTTTAAATGTGCATCAATAAAATTTTTTTTGTAGCTTTTTTAGAATTGACTTAATTTAGAATTATATAATTTTTAGATAAGATAATATTTTGCTACTTCTTCTTTCCACTGCTTTCCCCATTAAGTTGGCCTCAGCATGAGGCCAACTTAATCAATCATGAGACCAACTTATCTGTATGTTGAACAAATATTATTTAAATTTTTTCCACATAATTTAAATAAATACTGATCTTTAATCATTATGGGGGTATTAATTCTTATTTGTTTTAGGGCTTTATCAATGGCAATTAATAATTTTTGATGTTTATGGAAAATTTATCAAATAGCAAACTGCAAAATTCAAATAATCTGTTTTCTTTTCTTATTATATATTTTATCGCATTAAATATTAATGCCATTTAACTAATAACAAAACCTTACAGTACACAAATTAAGGTTAATCAACATTAATGACTATTTTTCATGGAATACTGCATATTTTGATCTTTATTTGCATTAAAGACCTAATATCCAGAAAAATCTATTTCCTGGATTTGCTGAAGTACCACATTACATTAGATTCTGGACATTAGATTTTCTACAGCAGTATGCAGTTTATTTTTAGTTTATTATTATATGCAGTTATGATCATATGATTTTGAAATTATCACAGCACTTTTTTTTAACACTTATTTGAATAATTGCAAAAAACTCCAGCCTTTTTATAAGGATATTTTTTATAATGACAATTTTGTTATTAAAACTAGCTGATTTTGTAGAAAAACTCTTTTCTAAATGTACACATATAGCCCAATCAATGAAGGCTAAAAATGACTGCATATTAATTAGAAGAAACATCATTCATAGTAAAAGCAATTTCATAACTGTTTTTCAAAAAAAATTCAATAACTGAATTCAAAATTCCAAGATTGTGGCAATGTACCACTGCACATAAATCTCTAACTTTTCAGATAAGCTGGTACCCATGATGCGAATCTGGGTATTTCAAGCAGCTGGTACTGAGGATCAAATCCCAGTTCTTCACAAAGACAGCTCAGTGATTAATTCTAACAAAACTAAATCTAAAAATATTAATTATTACAAAAACTAAACTAATTTTTCTTTTAAAAAGTCAAAATTTTTTTTCCGTGGCCTTTCTTGCTTCTTTTTCTTTAAGGAAAAAATAAGGTGGCACATCTCTATTAATGCACAAATAAAAATATTATCGATACAAAAATGACTTCTAAAAATTTTCTTACTTTGTTCAATTAGCCACAAAGCTCCCTCGCTATGTGTTGCTATAGACATCAACATTGTAATAAGGGCATCTTGAATAGATGGTGAACAAGTAATAAATATATTATACTTTGGTATAATTGCTAAATCATTAATGACTTGAGAATTTTTAAGTTCCATAAATATATTCTTATTTTGAAGCAAATAACCAAAGAGCTTTAAAGAGAATACTGTTATGGCTGACGAGAGTTTTTTTCTTTCCTTGATTAGATCAGAAAGAGCTTTGTCAAATAGAATTAAAGTTTTGGTATTTTTCTGCAGATCATAAATAAAACCTGAAAAAAAAATGCAAAAATAAGTTAAAAGCTTGTCTAATAATATTATATCTACTCTTTCTAAATAGAAAAAGGTTTCAAGGCTTCTATTTCTCCACAGTTTCCCTTTTTACCATGGTTCATACCATAGTTTAGGTTTTGCCTGTTACACAATAATAATTTATCTTAACCAATGCCTCTGATAAAAAGTTTCGTGGCTTACCATAAAATGATAAAAGTATTTAAACTAAAATAATAAATTTTAGTTTTGTTATTTGTCTCTTTATGTAAATTATGATTCCAAAATACTATATAAGAATAAACTATGTAGCTGTTTGATATATTGAGAGTTATCAACTTAATTAACATTTAATATAAAAAAAAGTTATTGATAATCAAAAAGAGAATATTTTCTTTTTTGTTCAAAAATGAAAATAAAATATTAAATAATAATAATAAATAGTGACACTTTTGACAAACTATTTTTAAGAAGTCGTGTAAATTTAGTTTCAGTCAGGTAATATTTTCCTGAATCATAAATGTACAGTAATAAATATCAGGTTGAGTAAAAAGTTTTCCGCCAAAAGGAAATACCTCCGTGCCAGCAGCAGCCATTGCCGTGGTGGTTAACTTTTTTTGAAACGGGCTTTTGTATTTTAAAGCAGAAAGTTGGAACTACACAACTGTGTAATTTGTTTGTCAAAACTTTATCATCTTGTGCACCAAAAAAGTTTTTAAAATGGAGCTATCACGTTAACAGATCAGACCCATTATGTACTATGAGTTCCGAAATAAACTAAGTGTAACTGAATGCCACAAGAAAATGTGTGAAAGTTTAGGTTTCAATACTGTTTCTTATGAGGATACAGTAAAAGTTTGGTTTCGAAAGTTTAATACTGGGAATTTCAACATTGAAGATGAACCACGTTCTGGCCGCCCTATTGAGGTTGATTGTGACCAGTT